TTTTGGAATTTTTTTTTTTAAAAATTTTGTTTGGTTTAGTGATTTTGGAAAAAAATTTCCAAAAATCATTCTCTCTCTCTCTCTCTCTCTCTCCTACACACCAATCAATCACTTTTTCTCTCAGACACATCTACTCAATTACAGCAAAATATCAAATCATCCCAAACTCCCATACTCCAAAACTATTCCCAAAATATACAGTCAAACAAATCAAAAAAATTTCTAAACTCTCCCTAAAATCTTTTTTAAAAATTTATTTCCCAAAACCAAACCAAACACACCTCTCTAGTCTTTTAAATAAATTAAGAGAACATAGAACATAAAAATTAACATATAAACAAAAAATATATAAATTAAGTCGAACTAGTAGCAAATTAATAACAATAAAACTAGATTTGATTGCAGCCAAAATGTGGTTAGTGATAACTGAAGGTCCCAAGCAAGCCACATATGAGATCTCCTTCCTTCTTAAAACACTTGCTTCAAAAATTATGAGTCTGTTTGAATGGATGTTGATTTCAAATCAAGGAATTTGAGATTGAATCTTGTAAAAATATTGTAGAGTTAGCTATTATAGGTGGATTGAAAAACTATAGAAGAAGATAAGTTGAGGTAGAAGAGTTTTTTGTTTTTGTTCTTTTTATAGGATCCTTGAAGCTAGAAGGAGAATTCTTACTATGATTTTTTTTAAATGACTCTTTTTGTATAGTTATTTCAATGCCATCATGATAAAGCTATTGAATTCAATCTTGATGTTCTAAGTAAACTAGGAAATCTAAAATTGAGTTATTCTCCTTGAATGATTAATGCCAAATTCTTGCATTTCAAATTCCTAAATACAAACGGAACCTAATATATGGATACTGGAAGAGACATTGATGGCAGTGGGAATAACTTTTCCTTCCATTCCATTATTAATATCTCATTGAAGACTTTCATTGTTGTTCAATGATCATTTAGGTTCAAAATACTTGAGATTAAAAGATATACAACCTGAAACCTTGCTTAAATTTATTAATTCAATTTTGTTACTTGTCTAAATTAGCATCCAATTGCAAGTTTTTGTTGCCTTTCTGCTAGAAGCGCATTCCTTACTAGTCATTACAGCTTGACAATAACCAAACCAAACCAAGCCTTGAGTACTATCAAATGGGATCGGTTACATGAATCATTCTTCTCCACTTGACTCTATCCAAGGCCATTTCGCTAGTCAAATTAAGGAGGCTCATATCTCTATTTACTACACTAGCCCATGTCAATCTAGGTCTGCCTCTTCCCCTAACACTTCCATCTACTGTTACTGTATCACATCTCTTCACTATTGCCTCTGTTGGTCTCCATTGTATATGACTAAATGGTCTCAATCTATTCTCTCTCAAGTTAAATTCTATCGATACTACTCCTACCCATTCTTGAATATATTCATTCCTGACTCTATCTTTTCTAGTCTTGCTACACATCCACCTTAGCATCATCGTCTCAGTAACACTCATCTTATCTACATGTTGTTTCTTAGTTGCCTAACATTCTAGCCCATACAACATCGCTGGTCTAATAGTCGTTCTATGTAACTTCTCTTGTAGTCTAGTGGGTACTCGTTTATCGCTCAGTACCCCAAACGCACTCTATCACTTAAGCCACCCTGCCTTAATTCTATGGATCACATCTGCTCCAATCTTCCTAGCCATTGTGATAATTGATTCTAAATAATGAAAATGTTCAATCTTAGGCAGTTCTTGGTTCTCAATCTTTACTTCTGCTCTGCTTTCATTGTTACTGTTATTAAAATTACACTCCATATACTCTGTCTTAGTTCAGCTTATCCTAAATCCTTTAGATTCAAGTGTTTCTCTCCAAATCTATTCTCTCTCAACTTAAATTCTATTGGTACTACTCCTACCCATTTTCAAACATACTCATTCCTAATCTTTTCTAGTCTTGCCACACATCCACTTGAGCATCTTCATCTCAACAACACTCATCTTATCTACATGTTGTTTCTTAGTTGCCCAACATTATGATCCATACAACATCACTGGTCTAATAGCCGTTTTATAGAACTTCCCTTTTAGTCTAGTGGATACTCGTTTATCGCCCAGTGTCCCAGACGCACCCCGTCACTTAAGCCACCCTACCTAAATTCTATGGATTACATCCGCTCCAATCTCCCAGGCCGTTGTGATAATCAATTCTAAATAATGAAAATGTTCACTCTTAGGTAGTTCTTGGTTCTCAATCTTCACTTATCCTTTGCTTTCATTGTTATTAGTTCTGCTTATCCCTTTAGATTCAAGTGCTTCTCTCCAAGTCTCCAACTTAGTGTTAACTTCTTCTCTAGTCTCATCCACTAACATGATATCATCTGCAAAAAACATACACCATGACACATTATCCTGAATATTTCTCGTCAATGCATCCGTAACTAAAGCAAAAAGATACGGACTTAAGGTTGGTCCTTGGTGTAACCCTACAGTAATTGAATATTCACTTGTCTCTCCAGCAGGCGATCTAATAATGGTCACCACACCTTCAAACATGTCCCTAATCACATCAATGTAACCTTTTGTCACCCCTTTCTTCTCTAACACCCACTGGATTATATTCCGAGACACTTTATCATATACTTTCTCAAGATCGATAAAAACTATATGAATATCTATTTTCTTTTCTCTATACTTTTTTATTACTCTCCTCAAAAGATAGATCGCTTCCATTGTTGACCTACCAGGCATACTCAAATTGATTCTTTGACACCTCTGTTATATTTCGCAATCGACGTTCTACCACTCTCTCCCAGCTTGATTCCTCTATAGTTATTGCAGTTTTGGACGTCTCCTTTATTCTTATAGATTGACACTAAAATACTCTTCCTCCACTTCACTAGCATTTTCTTAGTCAACAAAATTTTACTAAATAACTTAGTTAACTAAGCAATCCCCTTCTTATCTAAACATTTTCAAGTTTCAATAAGGATATCTAAAGCCTTATTCGATTTCATCTAGTTAAGTGCAATCACCACTTCAAAATTCCTAATCCTCTGATAGAACCTATAGTCCTGGTTTTTCTTATAATTGCCTACTTCTTTCCCTTTTGACCTACTTCCATGTTCCTCATTTAACAATTTTTCAAAATAGTTCTTCCACCTCTCCTTAATTTCTTCATCCTCCACCAACATCTTAGAGTCCTCACTCTTGATGCACTTAACCTGATTAAAATCTCTTATTCTCCTTCCTCTTATCTTAGCAAGTTTGTATATCATTTTCTCTCCTTCCTTATTATCTAGTCTAGTGTATAGGTCATCATAGGCTTACTTTTTTGACCACCTTATTAGCCAATTTGTAGCTCTTAAGGTTTTCCTGAGTTCTATCGTTCTATCACTTTTCAAAACACTCTTTTTTTCGTCTTTACTACTGCTTGAACCTCCTCTCTCCATCACCGAGTTTCCCTAGAGTTAGGTCTCTTTCCTTTCGACACTCCAAGAACTTCCCTTGAGATTCTCCTCGTGCAATTGGCCATCGAGTTCTACGTATTGTTAGTATCATTTTCCAAGTCCCAAGTACCAAGTACCTTCTTTATCCATTCTATTTTTAAATATTTCTAGTTTATCTCCTTTTATGTCCCACCATCTCTTCCTATGACTCCCACTACCCTTCCTAGCTTGGTATTGCCTTTTAAACCGTAAATCTAGTACCAAAATCCTATGTTGAGATGTCAGGTTCTCTCAAGGAATCACCTTACAATCGTTGCATGTTAGACGGTGCACTTTTCTTACTAGAAAGTAGTCTATTTGGCTCCTAATTGATCCACTCTTAAAGGTTATCAAATGCTCCTCTCTCTTCTTATACATAGTATTAGCCACCTCCAAGTCAGAAGCCTACGCAAAATCTAAAATACTCTCGGCAGCCTCATTTCTGTCACCAAAACCATACCTGCCATGCACCCTCTCATGACCTAGTTTATCTATTCCTATATGGCCGTTGAAATCACCCACTATTACTAGGTTTTCTCCTACGGATATTTCTTGTAATACCTCATCCATTTGGTCCAAAAAATCTCTCTTAGTCTGATCGTCTAATCCTACTTGTGGGGCGTATGCACTAATAACGTTCACTATATTCTCTCCAATAGTTAGTTTAACCAACATAATCCTATCACCTTCCCTAATAACCGCCACTACATTTTCTATAAGACTCTTGGCAACTATTATTCCTACCCCATTCTTATGTCTATCCTTGCCACTATAATACAGTTTAAAACCGATATCCTCTATTTTCCTAGCTTTCTCACCCGTTCACTTAGTTTCTTGTACATAAGCTATACTAACTCTCTTCCTAATCATGACATCTACCAATTCCATAATCTTACCAGTAAAAGTTCTTACAAGTAAAAGTTCTTACATTGCATGTGGCTACCCTAAACTTATAGTCTTGGACTAGTTTCTTTATCTACGCTCGTACAGAAAAATGTGAAAACCTTTGCCCATTTTTCACCACACCCAAGCGTCGATGCGGCGCTCCTTGCTTACTTTTCGAAACACCTGGAGGCAGGCGCAACACGTCAATTAAGGGGAACGACCTAGCATTTAATCGATTCAAAATAGGATTTATTTTCATAAGGGATCCGAGCGGCTTTTTGACGTGTTGGCTGTCGGCTACCTAATAGACAACCCTCCTCCTTTACTCGGACTTGGGACTGGCGGAGTTTATAGCTTCACAATATATATATATATATATATGCGTGTGTGTGTGCGCGTGTGTGTTTAAGCACCCGGTCCCACAAGAAAAAATGAAGGCCTGGAATTGGTTTCCCATTCATAATATCATTTTAATTACATTATGTTTTGCATTATCCACTGTCCTTTGAGATTCTCTCTTGTAACCTTGTCCTCTAAATGGGAAAAGAAGAGCCGTGATGTGATTGATTATATAGGCTGATGAGCTTTTAATTTTTTTCATATTTTCTAAAGATTTATTCCTTATGTATATCTTGCATTTTTACAGGACGAAGGTTCTTTGAGGAGTTGGATAGAGATGGTGATGGCCAAGTTACTTTGGAAGATCTTGAAATTGCTATGAGAAAGAGAAAACTACCTCGGAGATATGCACATGAATTCATGCACCACACTAGAAGTCACTTGTTTTCGAAGTCTTTTGGTTGGAAACAATTCTTGTCATTGATGGAACAAAAGGAACCAACCATTCTGCGAGCTTATACTACTCTGTGTTTGAGCGAGTCTGGGACATTGCAAAAGAGTGAAATCTTGACATCACTAAAGAATGCTGGTCTTCCGGCTAATGAGGACAATGCTGTTGCCATGATGAGGTTTCTGAAAGCAGACACGGAAGAATCTATTTCTTATGGACATTTTCGGAATTTTATGCTTCTACTTCCATCTCATCGACTTCAAGAAGATCCCCGGTGAGATATTTTTGTTCTTTCAAATAGTATGATTTGTGAAATTTCAAATAGTATGATTTGTGAAATTTCAGCAGAAACTTAAAGTAACCTGGTGTTGACCTGTCTTCATTTCACGTGGAAGTAAGAAATGAAATGTGTTTAATTGATAGCTGGTTTGGTCTCATTTGCATAGAATTTTTCAGAAGAATGGAACAGCTGGAGAAGAAATTTGGTGTGACATGTTTTTAGAAAGTATCTAGTGCTCCTTTTCAGGTGGTTTCAAGAAATTTTTTTTGGCGGTAATTGTTTTAGTGAAAATTGCGGCCTTTTCTCATTATTTAAGTCATTGGTACATGATGGGCAATGAATATAGAAAAAAATTGTTGAAAAGTCCAATCTAAGGAGGGTATAAGACGTTAGGCCCAATAGATATTTTTTGTTGGTGAGAAGTCCACCTTTTGTGAAATAATTTGGTAAGAAGTCTTCTTATTTGTTTTGAAGGACATTTTGTTTCTTATTTTACCTCTTAATTTATCTGTTGACTTTTTTTTATCTGTTTAATTTTTTTTGACTATTTGTTCAATTATTTTTAGCTGACCCCATTTGATGGGACTTAAGGCTTGGTTTGGTTTGGTTTGGTTTGGTTTATTCGTTCAATTATTTTTCCCTTATCTATTCAAATATCTATCCTAATTTTATTATATATTCAATTTTTTCATTTACCTGTTTAAATCTATCTATCCCAATTTTATTATCTATTCATTTTTTTCCTGAATTCTATCTGTCAAAATCTTATCTATCCAAATTTTTCTAGGCAACCAAACAGGGCATCCAAAAACACACCCGTCTGTTGAAATTCTATCCAAAAACACAAAGCAGTCTCTCTCTCTCTACCAAAACAAGTCTTTCTCTCTCTGTCTAACACAACCAGAGAACAAAAGAGGAAAATGAACCTGACCAAAAAAAAAAGAAAAAAGGAATATGAACAGATCTGGACTTTTTGAAGTCTGCTTTCTCAACAGATCTGAGCATTTTGAACAGATCTGAGCCTGTCTTTGAACAGATCTATTGAATTTTCATTTTCAACCACATCAACACTAGATCTAGATCTGGAAAATGCAGGAAATAACCCAGAAATTTACCAAATAAAAACAAAGCCACATGTCACATACATATACATACATATATATAAATGAAAACACACATATATATACATGAAAACAAAAACAAAAACACACACAGATCACGTACATATACATACATATATATATGTATATATGTATATAATTTCCATTGAGATTCTCGATGTAATTCAGCACAGAACAAAACCAAAACAAACTCAAAGCTTAAATGTTGAGACTTTTTAAAAATAAAACACATTACACAAATTTCAATTGATCTGTACATTAGACAACAAAGGATATACCAGTAGGTTTTCCACCAATCTCCACAGATCTCACACACACACACAGAGTTCACATTAGAAAATGAACAACAGCTTGGAGTGGGTGCAGGTTAGATCGCCGGTGTTGGTGGCAAACTGGATATCTGATCTGTTTCAGATCTCAGATTTGAGATCGTCAGCGGTTGAGACGGTGACGGTGGTGTTGGGAGGAAGGATGGTGGTATTGCGGTGGTGGTGGTGGTGGTGTGGGAGATGAAGAGAGGGAGAAGAGAGATCGTTGGCAGTCGCGATGGTGACAGTGGTGTTGGAGGGGAAGGATGGTGACGGTGATGGTGGTGCCGGAGATAGTGGTGTTGGGACAGTGGTGGTGGTGTCGGAGAGAGGGAGAGAGGGTTTGATTTATCTTTTTCCACCGTATAGCATATATATAGACATGGGTACTTTTGTCATTTTACAGGAATTTGTTCTTATGGACAAAGTATTTAGAGTGTGGACCTTTGGACAGAACAAAAAAAAAAAGAAAAAAAAAAGAAAAAAAAGAAAGAAGAAATAGAAAAATCCAAAATTGGATTTATGGACCGAGAGCCCATGAATATATTCATTTGATAGGATTGGGAAAACATGGGGAAGCTATTGCTGGTGATTGAACTGAAATGGCTTTAAACATCTTCTGGCTTTAAATCTTGTTAAAACCTATCACCTACTTCACCCACTTAAACCTACTCCACTAAACCTAACCCACTACACCACTACCATCTCACCTACTCCACTAAACCTAACCCACTACACCACTACACCACTACCACTTCCACTTCACCTACTCCTTACCTACTACACACTCACCCTCTTCTATATATAGGAATCATGAATCATTGTAATATATATCAATAAACATCAATCAATAATACATAAATTTTTACAAATCTTCTCTTTGGTAGGAACTTCAAGTGCATTTATCATCAATAATAATAATAAATTTTTTCATTTCATTGTGCTCATCAAAGAATCTAGAGTGTCATGTGTGATATTTATGTGAACCCACAAAAAAATATTAAACATGAAATAAATCTTCATATATTTGAAGCGTATGGGGAAAAAAAAAAACATTTAAAGCCCATGAATGATGCATGAAAATGTTATTCATTAACGAGAACTAAAATGCACATTTTATAAGTGAGAAGTGTATGTTGCATTGTCGAGTATGATAAAGATTTTGACTTGTAATATATAGTTTATATCTGAGGTGCTCCCCTTCAGTGCTTTTTAATATAATTTATTTTACTTAAAAAATACATAGATTATACTAAAACTAATTTATTTTATGGTACCTGCAATCATTGAATATTCATAGAAGAATTCGGCATCATACACACAATAGACATACTAAAACTAATTTATTTTAAGGTACCTGCAATCATTGAATATTCATAGAAGAATTCGGCATCACACACACAAATAGACATACAAAAATATTCCTTGGAGATGGTTGTGTAGAAAACAACACAATAAATCATGCAAATGGGAAAATCAATATTAAATATCCTGTTGCAGCTATTTGCTCTTGAAAACATGTCTGCATGCGGCCACTTGTGTGTGTGTGTGTGTGTGTATGAGAGAGAGAGAGAGAGAGAGAGAGAGAGTGGCAGTAAAGCACCTTTGTTGTTGTTGTTGTTTATTTATTTATTTTATAAATTAGTGATAACTGTGGAAGTGAAAATAAGAAGCAGTAAAGCACCTCTTTAGGTTTATGGGTACGGTGTGCGGCTGTAATTCGCCATGCTTTGTTGTTGAGAGATCCTAATTTTTCAATATACTCGACCTCATCGAGGGTCCATATGAGCTGCAAGGTCACTTTTAGCTGATAGTAACTTTATTTTATAAATCATGCAGGAGTATCTGGTTCGAAGCTGCTACTGTTGTTGCTGTTGCACCACCTGTGGACTTACCTGCTAACAGTGTTCTGAAATCTGCATTAGCAGGGGGCCTGTCTTGTGCACTCTCTTGTGCATTAATGCACCCTGTTGATACAGTAAAGGTAAAGTCATCAGCTTAATACTTTGTCTTTTTTTCCTTCCTTCCCTTACCCACAAGGGTAATGTTTCATGTGTATACTTATGTTATCATGTCCTATGTTTCTCACTCGCTTAGATATGCCCATAAAGGGAAATCTATGATGTAAAATCAATGCTTAGCCTATAATATAATTGATATGACAATGAACATTTTTCGACTTGTCCGCTAGTCCAATTACAATAACATCTTTATAGATGCAAGTGATGGATGATAAAATTGATGCTCTGGATAGGCCTGGCCTTAGCGTATAGCTATTCTGTTTGTAATGGATTATGGAAACTTTGTAGTGAGAAAGGTCTCATTTATGAACTATCTTTACTGAGCTTTTGAGGCTGGGTGATACTGTGTCTTTGTGAGAGATTATTATGAGCACTTGCAATGCAAATTGTTATGTCATAAAGCAATTATTCTGAATCTCTGCATGACGTGGAGGCAGGAAGGAATATTGTCACGCCCTTAATTCAAAGATACAGAACAATGAACCAGAACAGTATTAATGTGACAGGTGGTGAATAAATTATAAAGTCTCATTTATTAATTTAATATTTAAAGTGATTTGGCTTGGTTTGAAGGTATGGTCACTAGGGAATGATCTGTGACCTTACACCTACCATGTACGAGCATGCATACATACATTTCCCAATAGGTCCCCATAAAGAAACAAAACTATACAAATTTCAATCATCTTGGGGCTCACAAATCAAGCCTTCAAATAAATTTACAAAAGTTTAACTAAAGAAAGAAAATAACTGGGACTACCCATAATGGCTCCAAGTCCTATATAATAATAACACATGGTGGAAGCCCCACCCAAAGTGATTGTTATTCACCTTCCTTCTTTCCGAAAACAAACAGCAAGTCGAAAAGATATTACAGTCTTAAGAGTTTACTATTACAAATATTACAACAGAATATCAAAATGAAGCATGAAAGTGACTCTTTAAACCCCGAACAAGCTTAATGCAGGTCCTCTCGGCTCATTTCCTAAAAAGGAAGGGATGAACTAACTAGTGTAGTAGAGAATAATTTTCTACAAACTTATATGTTATCATGGTGTACAGTGGTGTTGTGTGTACAGATAATTTCTGCACACTGAACTAACAAGTAAAGGGCAATACGATGTTGTCAAATGAGATACGAATGATGCAATGTTGACATATGAAGCGTGAATGATGCAAAGTGTATGAAATGTGATAATTAAATAAAATAAGACCAACTCTTGATTAATTCCTCATTAATGAGTTTCGTGGTTTCACAAACACAGGTGCACACCACACCACACCACACCACACACCCTCAGTTTGCATGACACCAATTCCATGCACCTTCTTTACGGAGAAGTCATGTGATATTCTGACTTTCACCAGTTGTTAGCTGGAAGGACCTGTTGTCCCATTGGCCAAATTTTGGGTCTTTCACCTAGGAGCCTGGAACCCAAGTTGATTTATTCCACAAAGTGACTCACACCAAAATTTCAACATGTGATTCAATAAACATGCTTCAACAATAATTTCAACATGAATGATAATTTAGATTCTCAATGTAAATCCTAACATAGCCAAAAATTAGGGATTTTCCACAAAAGGTGTTCCAAACACAAATTGAATTGACAACAACCACCAATCCACCACCAATTTCATGAAGAGGCTAAGAAACATGAACAAGTACAACTAAAATATAACTATAGCATGATGACCTACAATGTATGTAAAACAAACTAAAGGAAACACATAATAACTTATAAAGAGAGAGAGAGAGAGAGAGAGAGAGAGAGACTTGTTCTGATGGAAATCATGCATAAGTACAAAAAAGGAGGGTACAAAAAGTGGAAAAGGATGGACCATGTCACCTGAATTTTAGCTGAATCTGTTGCACTGCTCGAGAGGTCCCTCTAGTTCCTCAGGTTCTGCACTCTGCAGAAGAAGAAGATTTTGCGGGGTCCAATTGACTTCTTGAGTGGTCAACCCAAGTTCACAGCATAAATCTTTGCAACAAAAACTCCTGCAAGCTACAGAGACCGCTTGAGTGGTCAATTGATTGCTCAAGGGAACACCCAAAATTTCTGGTATAAAAACCAAATGAAGTCTCCAGTTCAAAGCCCCAACAACTCTCTTTAACTACGAAAATGAAATACAATGTAATAATTCGACATGAACGAGGTTCAATCACATCTTTACAACCTCAGTAAGTCATGTAAACCCATGGATCCAATTACAAATAGTCTGAACCTGGAGAGATATTCATTTAAAATAGGGTTTTGAAATCCGGAATGTTACAAATGTGGTTGGGAGTCTGGACCTAGTGGCTTCATAGTTTTTACTTTACAGCACAAGACAACTACTAGTTCATATGATTAAATAATTAAAAGAGCTGAAGTAAATAATTAAATTATTCAAAAGAGTTAAACATATATTCTGCAAAGTTGGTCTTGGTACACATTGTTTCTTTTATGGTTTTCCATTGGGCCACTGATAATGGTTTAATGGTTTCTCAGACTCAAGTGCAAGCATCAACACTCAACTTTCCTGAGATTTTGTCAAAGCTTCCGCAAATTGGGCTCCAGGGGGTATACAAAGGCTCCATCCCAGCAATTCTTGGACAGTTTTCAAGGTAATTATTACTCCTTCCATCCCATATTGTTGGTCCATTTGGTCATTTTTTGATGTCCCAAAATGGTTGTCCATTTTAAAAAGTCAAAAACATAAATTTTATATTATTCCAAAACTACCCTTTAAAAATTATTATAACTATATTTAATAATGGGAATAAAGGGGCAATATGGTAAATCAATATCTTTTGATTTGACTTTAAAACAATAATTACATGTTCCCTTAAAAAGTTTGAATTTTCAAAAGGGACCAACATTGTGGGACGGAGGGAGTATTATTTTTTTTTCTCTTGTTTTTTGGTTTTGTTTAGTGAGTCTTGCTTGTTTAACTAACATGTACTTCTGGCATTGCAGCCATGGCTTGCGAACTGGCATTTGTGAAGCAAGTAAGCTTGTGTTAATAAATGTTGCTCCAAACCTTCCCGACATACAGGTACTATCTATTGTAAAATTATACAGTGGTTCTTATATGGATTGCTCTTTTTTTTCCCTTATTCTCTAAGAAGCATGGACAGGGAAGCGTGACACGAGACGGACACGCCGACATGCCAATTTTCAACAAATGTAGGACACGGCACGTGGAGGACACACATGAAATATATAATTTTATATATTTATTATATGTTATATATATGAATATATCATTTAAAGATAAGAAAAAATGCAATATGATACTAATTCCTATAAATTTATATAATTTTTGTTTTATTATTGTATCTTGAGTTGTTTTGTTTAAACTTATAATTAGTTTCATCTGTGTCTAATCGATAGATACGTGTGTTTAAGCGATAAACACGTGTATCTTCTAAGTGTCCAAAGAGTGTTTGGATCTTTAAAAAAAATTAAAAAATAGGACACGTTTTGAAGAGTGTCGGACTTGTGCTGGGGAAGTGTCCAAAGAGTGTCGGTGTCTGACATGGACATGACACGGATACGTAACCTTCTTTAGAAGTGTCCATGCTTCATAGCTTCTTCTTCTTGTAGTTTTTGTTTCTATTTTTCAGTTCTACATATATATATATATATATTTTTGAGGAAAAACTTGCTTCCTTGGTTACCTAACGTTATTTATCTTCAAGATCAAACAGAATTTTGGCAGAGCATCTCACTGTCCTTCCCAAGCACAGCTTGGTTATCCTTTTTTGATCCTTTTATTCCTTAATTTTTTCACTGCTGAATTAGTATGAGTGCAGAATAGTATGTCTAATCTTAATATGTTTTTTAAAATCTTTTCCTTGTCAACATCCTAGTCTCTTTTACTCTTGTTTGAATACTGCACTCTGTTAGCTACCCAGGTTTAATCCTAGGTCATAGGTTTGCTGCCACTGTTTCTAACAGGATTATGTTGGTGGCACCTTATGCTGAATCGCATCTTTCTAACAAGATTTTCTGTATCATTAATTGTGGGTGCTCTGCATTGTGTCCAGTGTATAGACTTCTTAATTTGTCATCGAATAGATTATAGTGTATTTTTCTTCAATTTAATCATTCAACAACACAGTTCTATGAGCATTATGATCCATTGTTTTACACTATTGTCATTCCAAAACTCCACTCCATCTAGATTTTAGTTCATTATATCTTACTTTTTCTCCTATTAAGAACTTTTAATTAAAAACATAGAAAAATTTATTGGATCACTTTGGATCGCTAAATTCACAGTTTTGGAACAAAATTGTACACCATGTTTTAGAACGTGCGTTCCAAAATGTAAATTGCTAGGGTGTTTGCGTTTTTTGGTAACACTGGTTTGAGTAGTGGTGGCATCATTTGCAGAAGCATCTCTTACTCCAACCGAAAGTAGAACACTGCTGTTTGTTATGTAAAATTAACTCGGACCCGTTACCTTTTCCCTTTTGTGATACTGCTTGCATATAGATAGACTTCAGGAATGGTGCTTGCTCAGTCACATGCATTGTGTGCACTTTGTGTCTGTGGCACATCACAAATCATATTTGAAGTGTGGTATCGCATATTGGTTTCCAGATGTAAATGTGAACTTGGATATGTACGATTATTTGACATTGATAGAGATTTGAAGCAGTGAATGAATTAGTTTGATAGAGATTTGAAGCAGTAAATTAATTAGTTTGTATTTTCCTGCTACATAGGTTCAATCTGTAGCATCATTCTCTAGCACTGTCCTGGGGACAGCAGTACGGATACCATGTGAGGTATTGAAACAAAGGCTGCAGGCTGGCATTTTTGATAATGTTGGGGAGGCAATTGTTGGTACTTGGAATCAAGATGGTCTTAAAGGTTTTTTCCGTGGTACTGGTGCCACTCTTTTCCGGGAGGTTCCATTCTATGTTGCAGGCATGGGGCTTTATGCTGAATCCAAAAAGGTATGGAATGTTCTCATGTGAAGCCAGATATAATACCTTCAACTTTACATTTATTTGGTGCTTCTAGAGTGTGTTCATGGGCACTAATTGGTAGATCACCACTAGTGAAACAGACCCAACAATGTATGTCAAACTATCCAAGACTGTAGGGAGAAACATAATGCAAACAACAAACGAGTATAGATGGTGAGACTTGAACCTAAGACCTCCCCGAACACTCTTGATACCATGTTAGATCACCACTAGTCCCAAAAGCTTAAGCTATTAGGAAATTAGTCCAACAATGTATATCAAACTATTCAACTCTAAAATACATTTAGTTTTGCTTCCGTATTGCTCTTGTATTGTTTTCTTTTCCTGTTTTTTCATGTGTGCTGCTACTATTTTCTTCATATTTATTTTGATCTGTATTGGATTTGATAAGCTGAATGTTCCCTTTAATAGGGTCATCTTGACCAGGCTCTTAACTGTAGAACTTTTACTGGAGCACAACTATATCCATCATTGCTTTCACTAGACCCAGAGTCATAGGGTTACCTTTTGTTTTTCCTTCCTCAAGTCCAAGGATGACCCCCCATGTTTTTTCCTTTTTTTGGTTGGTAGCTTGCCTGCTTAATTTTCTTTTCTTCTGTTTGGTTGGGTGCTTGCACATGATTTGTTTGCCTTTGGGTGCCTACATTGTTGGGATTTCGAGTTTAGCTGTGATGCTTGCTGCATCTCGTGTCTTTTGTTGATGTAATTGGATATTGTATGTTGTTTTACTTCTTGATTACAGCAATAAATTCCTTTATTTTGCTGATCAAAAAAATAATCTTCTTCAATATCTTTGTTGGTTTGAGAAAACAAATACAAGATTTCCTTGGTTTTGTGTACTCAAATCAACATTGAGTTTGACCCAAATAATAAGATTTTTAATTTTTCCTTTTTAATCAAGCAATAAGGTCACTTCATTGTTGGAAATAATCCAGTATGCATTGTAATTGGCCCAATGATAATTGTATTTCCATTGTCTTACCTTCTTGTGTGGAGTAGTGCATCAATAATATTTTGTGACATCAACAAATAAATTAAGCACCTACTTGGCTGTTCCTTGAATCTGAATGACTTGGTTTCCGTTAAAAATTTGTTATTTCAAACAAAATCATTTCCTGGAAACAGTGGCCATCTCAAAGTTGATGTTAAGAATATCAAAATTTTCATTTCAAAAAACCTAGAAGGATGATATACAAGAATTAGGGCGAAGTTTTCTATATTCCTTGTGTTCGTTTCAATGTCATAGATTTGTCCTATGAAAATCCTTATATAATTGGATGGAGCCATTCAAATTCAGGTTATGTGTAATTAGGCTATAAATTTTCTGAAGGTTGAATATAAAATGTGCAACTACACCTGAATAGCATAGAATGAGCAAGCAGAACAAAAAGCTACTAACAACCCTACCTAAAAAAAAGTCACGGAAGCATACCCGAAAAGTTTTCTGTGGCAGATACTCAAAGATACTAATTGTTTAAAACAGTGACATCTTCCTTATTTAAGAGTCAGATAATTTCATGATGGTCCAGAAATACCAAAAGATTTTCTTTTTTGCCACTTAAATATTATATGATTCTTTTTGCCACTTAATGGTCTGGAACTTTTTACCAGGTAAAGATCAGCTCTTTAACCACTTTGAGATGATTAAAATAGATCAATGAATCTGGAAAATATTGCTGATGTTGTAACTTGCGGCAAAGGCATTCAAGGGGTGTTCAATTTTTATTGTTGACAAAAGAAGAAACGATACAAAAATATGACCACATAAGTGATGGGTTGCTGAATACAAAGACGTGGAAAAAATATTTAGTGCTCTTGCGTACTAGCATATTGTTATAGGTTATGCTGATTGTACTTGATTGTAGGGCTATAAACGAGTTACGAGTCTAGTTAAGCTAAGCAGAAGGTTGTGCATGTTTGGCTTGAAAACTTAACTAACTTCAATATGTGGTTGAACTTGGCTTGTTACCTTTCAAGTTCATCTGAAATGAGTTTCAATCCGGCCAATCATAACCCAAGTTTTGAGTAACTTGGTTTTTTATATAATCATAGAGTGTATATAAGCTTATCGAGCCAAGTTTAAGCCAAACTCATAAAATTAACAAGCTTTAAAATGTCTTTAATCTTGCCTAGCTTACATAATGAGTCGATCTCAAGTGAGGTTTTAGTTAGCAGAACCCTACCTTCAGCAGTTTGGTTCATTTTACAACCCTACCTGATTGCCTGAGGTATACCTCCAGACACATGCCTACATTTGCAGTGATGAGAGCAATTCAGATCAATATTGTTGACTAAGGCTCTACTTAAGCCGTATGAACAATTGAATGGACACTTTTCATAGCTTCTTCGGTTTTCGCTCAGATTAAAGGTCATCATCACTCAAAAAATTCATAATTTTGAACTAAGAAGTTCCCTGATGTGAACTTCTCGGCTGATGAAGACTTTTTAGCCTCATTTTGCATTTATTGAGGATATTTTAGTTATTAGTCTAGACTGATCCATCCGAACAACCACTGTATTCTCATGACAATTTATATTTTTATTGTTTTTCTTGCGCTTTCTGTGGCATTCTGTAAATTTATGAAGCAGTATAACTAAGGGTGAGAGAGTTCAATGTTTGGTCTGATGCATGATTTTAAATACCAATATCAGATATGTATCCGTATCTGATATACGGTCATATATCAGTTATCTGACAATATTGGCTGATAAATTAGTAACTAACAGTATTGAAAGTCCAAAATCCCATATGTAATGGCTGATATCTAACACCCTAATTTTATATACAATCATGTATACATATCCTGTTTTAGGTTGCCCAGCGTCTTTTGGGACGGGATCTGGAGCCCTGGGAGACAATTGTTGTTGGGGCTCTGTCTGGTGGGCTAACTGCTGTCAGCACAACGCCCTTTGACGTAATAAAAACTAGAATGATGACTGCTCCTGGGGGACGGCGTTTGTCAATGTCAATGGTGACCATCTTTATTCTCCGTCGTGAGGGACCTCTTGGATTTTTCAAAGGAGCGGTACCGAGGTTCTTTTGGGTTGCTCCACTGGGTGCCATGAATTTCGCTGGTTATGAACTTGCTAGGAAAGCCATGGAGAGAAACAAGGATGATCCCGTTGAGCAGCTCTCTCAAAAGAAGTTAGCCAGTTCTTGTTAAGTTTCCTTGAAGCTTGTGGGATTTTGTTTCATAATCATTGAATGTCAATGCTGCCAAAAGTTTTGATCTTTTTCCAAATTTTGGTAGCTGCATTTGCTTCAAATTTTATCTGTCGACATGTCTATCTTTTTTCAATTTGACAATGTAATCTCTTTTTTCTTTACTTGTTTTTGACCTGTGAAAATGCCTGTGACGGCATGCATTATGTTGTTCTTGGTTTATTTTTGTAACCCATTTTGTATATTTATGTGCAGTTAACTGTTATATTTCCATCTTTTGATATATAACCTTCTGTTTTCATTCTGGACTAAAATGTTGACCCATCTATCTCTCTTGAAATACTTTGAACTGTCTATCTTGATGGATTTAAATTCACTTCATGAATATGATAAGAGTATGTTCATCCCAAACACCAAGTTTTGTTTGGATCATGAATTTAGGTAGAAATTTAGAAAGGGTAAAGAAAATCAGAAAAATGTTAAAAAATAAAAATAATAAGTCTTAAATTTCATTCACATTTCTCTCCCCTTTTATTTTCCCTGTACAAATTTCTATCCAAATCTGTAATCCAAACATAGTTTGTATGAAGTTTTGGTAAGCTCCACCTAAAATATAAAATAGCTGAATAAAACATATAAAATGAAGGGCACGTTACCCCGGTAGTCCTTGTCATTTGCGTCATGTCAATTGGGTTCTCGTAGTTCTAATTGCATCAATTTTACTCTTGAATTGTTTTACATTGTATCAATTTTATTAATAACCCCTCCAAAAATTAGACTAAAATCAAAAGGGAAAAATAATGAAGGGTTTGGCTTTCTCAAGCTGTCATCTCAACCTTTGAGCCAGTGAAAATGGATATGCACTGCATCCCTCTATCTCGAGCCCATCGTAGGACATCTAAGCAAGTCACGGCTTCGGCAAGAAATGGTGATGGAAGGTGTAGCCTCTTGGCATTCTGGGCAACATGTTCTTGAATTTGATTGTAACAGACCCATGCTGCACCTGCCTTGAATCCCTCCTTTCACCAAGATCGGTCAATAACAAATGGCCGTACCTGAAAATCAACATTGTTATACAAGGAATTGGAAAGAACACAATGATTATGCTGTGCTTGATTGAGGAATTTGAGGAGGAGTTTAGAAAGGAAAATGGAAAAAGTAAAAAGTAAGTGAAATGTGAATAAAATATACTTATATTTCACTTAGTTTCACACACCTTTTTCCTTTTCCTTCTTAAATCTCCCAACCAAATACAATGTTAGAGACATCATTTGCTGAAACCTTTTCCCTTTCCTGTTCCCTCAAATCCGTGTTATCCCTGGTTGTTGATAAATTAGAACTGGCAACAGTAACCCCTAATTCTTGAACTTGGCTTAGAGCAACGCTAATTGGAGTCATGAATTTGTGATAAATCACACTATTGCTCTGCTTCCAAACTAGAACAAAGATCTCTACCCATGAGATGCTTTTTCAACCCCATGACGCTTTAGTAGCAGGTTTAACAAAACAAAAGGGAGGATTGACAGTATTTACCAATTAACACCCGTGCCAAAAGAGAATCAGGTTGTGACAAAATCTTCCACGCTTGTTTAGCCGACAAAGCTTGGTTAAAACAACTCAAGTCCCTCAAACCAAGAACCCCCTCATACATTCTGTGCCCCAAACTGTGAAAAAAGAAAAGAAAAGAAGTCCCAAAACCTAGAAAAAATAGAGAAGTACAACAATCTGTATTGAATCAAGAAGATTAGATGTTGTCTTCCGTTGTAGAGCAGGTACAATAATATATGAGCAAATTACATTTTATTCTTTTAAACTATTGTTTTATATCACTTTATTCCTTTAAACTAAAAAATAAGGGTGCTCACGGATTGGGTTGGGTTAGGTGACCTCTCATCCGTCATCCATCCAAATTTATACAAATTGAAGAAAGTTAATCTGCATTCATCCCCTTAGTTAACGGATACGGATTGAGCGGGTTCTGCGGGTTGACGAGTGGATGTGAATTGGTTTGACGGTTTGAAATTTACTGTTTTGGGTCTTTTTTCAAACTATTTTTCAGTAATTTTTTATTGTTTTCTATCCAGAATTTTTATTGTTCATTTTTTATAATAAAAATAAAGGCCCAACTTTAAAGATCATTTTTTAACATACAATGCACACAATTCATTTTATTAGGAGTGTTGACAGATCCAGGTAGAGTCAGGTGATCTCATATCCACTATTCGTCTTAACTTAGGCTACTTGGGAAAAATATATTTGCATATGTCCGCTTGAACCATTGAAACCGTCCATTTTTAATATTTTATTATTTTTCTAATTTATTTTGTAACTAAATAATATAAAAATTAAAATTTTCTAAATAGGCAGGTCACGCAGGGCTAGGTTGGGCTAAAACTCTTTATTCCAAACTCAACCCAAAAAATGGGCTAATTTTTTTTTTTTAACCCGACCCTATGGGTTAAATATTTTTTCCAATACTTAAAAATATCAAGTTGAATTGGGCAGGATGGCCATCATCGATGTCTAGCCCTAGCTATACTCACTCATCCAATTTCTAAATTAATAAATATTCAACACAAAATTGAATTTCTTTGTATCATTTTTTTGGGTCAATTGACAAATATTTCAATATACAAATTTAATAAGATAAATTATAAATATACCTCCTAAGATTTATCAAAAATATCAATATCTCCCTCACATTCAGGAAATTACATCCTAACTCTTGAAGTTTCAATCACACAACAAATGACTATCCGTTAATCAATGGTTAAGTCAAACTAACATAGCGTATGATGTAAGTAACAAACTAAAAAAAACATCTATATTAACCTTTATGAAATTAAAGTACTTTATTATTTTTCTCCATTATCTTGCCTTCCTTATATTCCATTTTTTCTCAACTAGTAACATTACGTTGCCTGACCATCACATTACATTATCCTGCTCTTGACCAGTGCCACCGTCATTATTGTCTAGAAGCATTTGGCGTGTTGTCCAAGAATATTGTGGTGGTTTAGAGAGATGAATTTGGTGGAAGGTGGATAAAAATAAGAATAGTATGATAGTTTCATTTTAGTATAAGAAAATATTTGTGTAATTTTATGTACTATTTGTTTGAAGGACAAATTTTGGTAAAAGGTATTTATAATTTTTCTTATCATGAAAGAAAAATTATTTTTAATAAATGTGAATAAATGTATTTCTAATTGGGCAAATTACACTAACGGTGTTTATTGTTTGAAGCTTGTGTCACTTTGGTTCTTGACCCTTCAATTATGATATATTTGATTCTGAATTTTGAATCTTGTTCTAAATAAGGACAATTGAAAACAACGTTTCATTTGCAAACAGAAAATGCTCAATTTCAATGGCAAAATCAACAATTGGATAACATATAAACTAGTTTGACAAAACTAAACGTCAAATTTTTTTTTTTTTTTTTGAATTTTTAAAAAATATTTCTACCCACCAAAGATAAAATTATATAAAAATGATAATTTGTTTTTACATTTATATATCTATTTTTACAAATTAATTTTTATTATGTGTTTGGTTGATAATCATGTAATGCGTGGTTGTTTTTGTTGATGTTTTTGAAGGGTTGTTATGTAACGGCTCGGGTAGAAATCCGACTCTTATTTTTTTTCGTATAAAGGTGGTTGTATTAAAAACGTTTTCTATCAAAAATTTGACTTCACCTGAAAATTTTTTAAGTGTAAAAAAATTGGATTTTTCAAAACTTACGATCTTAAAAATAATTTTTGGCGGTAATTGTTTCTTATATATTAAATAGTCTAATTTAATTTTATGAAATTTTTATATGAGGTATTAACCACTTTGCTTCAATGTCAAACTTAGAAATTTCAGTCGAAAAATTATTTTTGTACTAAAACTGGGGGAACCATTTTTTGATTTAATTGATTTTTGAGTTTTTCGTATTTTTCTTTGAATCTAAATGGGGGGTATTTCCTTATTTACATTGTAAACTTAAGTAAATGAAATATAAATGTAAGAGGCTAAATGAAAACAATGGTTACATATGAAAATAAGGTTGTTTTGTAGGGAGTGCCTTAGGAACTGAGTCTGTGTTACTAGCTGTTTTTAGGGTGACCGCTTGAGCAGTTGGTTTCACTGCTCGAGTAGTGAAGAGGGGTAACTAGTACTTTGCTCTGTAGATTGAAATGCTGAGAGATTGAGTTCACTGCTCAAGCGGTAGAAAGACCTCTCGTGCTGTGACAATTTGAACCAGGTCGCTTGAGCGGTGAAAAGACCGCTCGAGCGGAGATGAGGCACTCCCAGTAGTTTGCTTGTAGGTTGAGCAAGTGGTCGTTCGAGCAAAGAAGAGGGGCTCCCTAATATCTCGTTTTGCACGCAGAGATACTGGGAGATTTCATTCACCTCTCAAGCGGTGAAAAGACTGCTCGAGCGGTTTGCGTGATATCAACCACTTAAAAAGTGACTTTTAGATCATTTCTTTCACTTTTTATTTCCTTTCTTCTCTTATCTCTCTTTAGCTCTAAAAATCCTAGCCATATCTCTCTAGAAATCTTTCATTCTACTTAGATTCACAACCCCATTGCTTGCAAAAGTAGGAGTTTAAATAAGAATAAAGCTTTCCACCGATTAGATTAAAATTTTACGAAAATTTCTTCGATAATCTAGCTTCTTGGCCTTGATTCTTGAGGTATGATTATTTTTAACCTTGTATCTCATTGATTTGAAGATGATTATGTGGTATTGTTATGACATTTGTGAATTGATGAATGTTTGGGTTTATAAGTGGAAGTTTTCTTCAAAAAAATGGAATTTCTCTATTATTTTCTCAAGATTTCCCTTATTATCTTAGATTATGAAAATTTTACATAAGAAAAGGCCTTAGATATGAAGGAGGGGCAAAACCCCCAAATTTGATGGAATCCCATTTCTTTGAAAATTTAAAATAATGTAATTAAGAGAAACTGGTCTTTCATTCCTTAAAATTTGTGATTGGATTATGATATTTGAGAAGTATTGAATTGAGAATTGTGAAATTGGAATATTCTTGAGACTTGATTTGAGATTTTTGGAAATTATCACTTTATATTTGTTTCAATTGCTTGGACGGTGAAAGATTACTTTTATTCTCATGAATGTATAAATATTTGGAAACCTTGGAAAGATTGTTTTGAGGGGGTGATAAATAGTGTATGAGTCTAGGTAGAGAGTTGGTTTTGGTAAGTGTTGTGCGTTGTGCTACCCGCGCGGGGAAGGTTTAGGTGCCCAATTGCCCTGAACGAATGTGAAAAATATTTCTGGGTGTCCACTGGTCCTA